AAAGGAACAGTCAAATCCTACAGTCTAGCTGTGAACACTGATTGTGGCTTATTACTGAATTGCCTTGATCTTTATCATTTCCCAAATAAGTATGCCACATTGAAACACAATATTGGAACTCCATATATGCATAATTTTACCTGGGAAAGGCGGTGGTGGCCCTCCTGGCCCTGCCGGTCCAGGGAATCTGTCTCCACCTGGAATGGCACCTGGAAAACGGCCCCGACCTCTATTACTAGGTGGAAATGCTGCTCGTGAGCTTCCTCCTGGGGGACCAGCTTTACCTTCCCCAGACATCTGGCCAGACTGTGTGGCTGCAATGGAAAAACAAAAGTGTCATTACATAGATGAAAACAGGTTAAATTACTTCAACACTTGATCTGAAGTTTTATGCAGTGCTAAAGCATGACCTTACGAGCACCAACTTGCTCCCCTTACCCAAACCCAATGCATCTGGGGAGGAAAACATTCTTTGCTAAAATATTATGCCTTATACTAAAGGAGAGGATCTGGAGAGTCTGCCAGTCCTTCATTCAATGAAGTCCAAGTCCACACTGGGAAATAAAAGAGGTGCTAAAATGGAGCCTCACAAATGGCTACAACATGGAACCTTCTCTTCCCCATTCTATCGTAAATACAGACCATCCACACATTAAAATTTAGTCCAGTTTGTTTACAAATGTTAAATTTCTAAATGCTCTTGTGCTTTTTTTTTTTTTAAATTACATCTAAAAGAATTTGAGAAAGCATCTCCAGCGTGTTAAGACAAGAACTGCATGAAGCTGCAACCTTCTTTCAGAATGCAGCAACTCTTCAGTGTATGAAGTGGTTTAATTAAACAAAGATAACTTCATTCATCTGGACTCTAAGTACTTTATGGCTATTTTAAACTGTGTAGAAATTGTAAGACACTGCACTAAAAACCTGCCACTCTACTTTTTCTGCTTTTCCAAGACAGCACTTAAGTAAAGCTTACTTTTCCTTGACTGCATTTCAAATTGACTCAGAAACTGTTTATTACACGGAGTTACAACTGGATTCTGCCCATGCAATTCTCTTTTAGGCAACAAATCCATCAACTTTTTGGAGGATGCTTCCGATCCCACACCCACAAGGGCAAACCTGAGAGGAAACAAAAAAAGTTACACAATTTGTTCATTTTCTGACATCCTGACACCTCATGAAAAAGATTACACACAGTATGCAAAAGGATACTTGACAAGCTAGACACAGAAAATGTCTCACAGGTTTTAGTCCAGTTTTCAGAACAGATAAAGTAACTTATCCTAGGATGACACAAAAGAAGGAAACAAAAGAGCAAGTACAAGACGCAACAAAATTTATCACAAGAAGGCAGCTTTTTGGTGAAGTATCAACAGACTACATAATGAATTCATATGACCAAGTTATTAAGCATACACTGTATGCTCGTTGTTGCTAAAGAGACTTTTGCCACATTCACGCAGTGAAATTTAGGTTGTCACTGCAAAATGGGCTCAGGCACTTACTTTAAACAGCTAATGGACAATAAAGATGTAAATAAAGATTGAATAACGAAGGGTGGGGGAACAACTTTTACACTGAAGAAAAACAAGCATCACCACCACACCAATTAAAAATCTAGGAATAGTCTTAAATGAAAATGACCAGTAAGATTTAACTCACAAAATAATAAGACATACAATACCATCACAAAAACTTATACCTGAAATTAAAGTCATTAGTAATAAATTATATGCCAAATCATTTCTGGATCAATAAGCTAAGATAAGCAGTTCAAAGACTGACAATTATGAAAACTGAGAATTCCTTCCCCTCCCAAACTTCAGTCCACATATAGAAAAAACAAATTGCAAGTTCTTACCCTTTAGACTGGCCATTAGCACGATTTTCAAAAAATTTTATCTCCAAAATGTCATTTACCCCCAATGAATGAACTGCTTCAGTTAAGTCTTCATCTGTTGTCCACTGAAAAATATTTTTAATATTTAACTATGAGAGCTTATCTAAAACACCAGGCAAAGGGCAACTAAATTTTCCATGGATTTTCAAGTGTGTGTGTGTGAAATTGATCCAGAGGAATACTTTACTCAGGTTGTCAATATATTCTGACTTTTGGAGTAGTCACTTTTATTTTACAATTCAACAATTAGTTCAGTTAATTCATGCACGTTTTACTGATTCCATTCATGTACTTCAAAATGGGACAACTTAAGAGTCAGGTTCTTTACTTACCTATTAGCTCCTGAAATACTGTAATAACTAATAAAAAAGCCACCTACAGTAAGAAATTATCAGAAATGAAAACTCATATTCTTATTTATCTTTTAAAAGAGAATTTTGCATATGTGGGCCCTGAAGAACTTGATTTCATGTAAACAGATAAAAGCTCCATTTAATTCAGCTACTGACCAGCTTTTGCACTGTTTGCTTAGCTGCAATTTTAAAATGCTTTAGTTCTATACAGGTAATTGTCCTAAGGGCGACTGCAGTTCAGTGAGTTATCATAAACCTGTTCTTCTTGGATGGAGAAATAAGCCTCAAGACAAATACCTGAAAAGAGTTATGCTGAAAGAGTCACTGCCGATGGAAAAGGCCCTGGAAAAATGTGAAAAGTAATTTCAAGAAAATCCCAGAGAACCTTCAACCTCCTTTTAAACTAAAATCTTTAGCAAGAGTTGACTAAAAATTTTGTTTGTAACCTTGAAGTATTTACAGGTATGAAGTATTTAATAGTTTAAACTTGTTTTCCTTTCATTTGGTTCTCTGAAAACCTTAAGAACATAGTAGGACAAATATTCTTTCATAACACTTAAAACATGACAGATACTCTAAAGTTTATATTTACTGAAGACTTTCTTGATTTTTAAGACATCATGACAGGCTCTCCAAATTTCAGGTAAAAAGAAAAATGACCCCACAATCACAAATAAAAATTAAAGAAAATCAAACCAACAACAAAAACAAAATCAATTTTTATCAAAATCAATGGTTTTTGATACTCATAATACTTCATATAAAACATTTTAAAGCAAAAAAATTTTACAAATAATTAGGTTTATAATTAAAATTCCCATCTACAACTAAACAGCAGTTAAGATACTTACCCAAGTGAGATTTCCAATGTACAAGGCAATTCTCTTTCCAGTATACGTATAGACAACATTTGGTGCAGCTCCTTTACCTACATCATCCCCAACAGATGGTGGAAGAGAATCCATGTAATCACGATCCTCTGGAGCATCTCCATTATTTGCAGATGGAGAAATTACATCATCATACAAATCAATCTGATCATGCCCACCATATTCAGCCTCCTAAAATAAAAAAGATATCTTGATTATAATTAATATTACATTTAAAACTTACTGAAGCAGAAGTTGTGATAACTGCCATGTTCCACAGTAAGTCTGATAGACCACCTACACAACATCCTCGCTGAAAAGCTAAGTGCCAGTTTCATCTACATCCAAACATTATAAAAGTCTTATGACTCCTATTACATTCTAAACTTACGCGGAAAAAAATACTTCTGGCCACTGTTTTCCATTCCAATACTTTTGCCCTTGCAATATAAGCAGAAATTAAAAAAATCTACAAACCCTACTCCCAGAATTGAATACATTAGAATGTAGAAGTATCATAGTTTAATCCCAGATAGCAACTAAGTACCACAAAGTTGCTCACTCCTGGGGCATGATGCTCTTCCATCTGATGCTTTCCTATAACACAGCAGGACGCATCAAGGTATATTGCATCTCATTTTATGGTAGTTTATTATACAATGAGGCCCTGTTAGCACGTGTTATCTCCTCCCCTGATGATATTCTGAAATCTCTGTCTTCTAGATAGTCCATGATAATTTCTAAGGTTCCTGGGCAACCGGGACTTCCTGTTTGAGGTCACAGCAACCCACTTACTTCATGTCGCACCAGCTGCATGATGTGTAGAGAACACCCTCCATTTGAACATCCAGCCTAGCACTGGCAGTTGCTGGGGAGCTGTGCTTCAGCACCAATCCCTTCCAAAGCAGCTCAAGTCCCTTGATTAGACTCCAGTATCTCTTTCAGCTGGAGTATAGGAGACCTCAGATACTCTGTGTCCCCAGTTCCAAAAGAGAGGACCAGAGTCTCCCCTGGTGCTTTCTGCCAGGCACTGCCTGTAGGGCCATTTGCCCTGGCTGCAGTATAAAGCATATTTTTACATCTTACCCTACCCAGACTGGCCTGGGGGCTGTTGCATGAACTAGGTTCCATTTAATTTGCTCAAAACCTTGTTGTTGCTCAAGGCCTCATTTGAAATCATTCTTCTTCCAGGTCATTTGACAAAGAAGACCTACAATTAGACTGCAATCTGGAATATGTGTGTTCTCCAAAAACCCACATCACCTAAGAAAGCTCGTTAGTTGGTGGAGACATTGCTGCTGTTTTGTTTATCACATCCATTGGCAACTGACAACATCCATCTTGCCATTTTACTCCTAAAAATTCAATCTCCCATGTAAGTCCCTTGATCTCACTATGTTTTATGGCAAAATCAGCTTTTGGAATAATTAGAACTATTTTCTTCCCTTTCTCTAAAACTTCAGCTACTGTATAGCCCCACATGATGTTATTATCAATGTATTGCAGGTACTCCAGAGCTTCATCCCAATTCCAATGCAGTCTGGATCAGTCCATAGAATTAGCACTATGTTTCCACCCCTGAGGCGCTGGATTACAGATCTACTGGATATTCCTTCAAGCGAAAGAGATTTGTGGGCTGTCAAAGGTATTGAAACACATTAGCAATGTCAATTGTGGCCAACCACTTGGCAACTCTGGGCTGCAGCTCCTATCAATGAGTCCAGTACAGCTGCACTCAGACACAGTGTGACTTCATTCAGGCTGCCATAGTTCACGGTCAGACTCCACTCTCCATTATACTTCCACACTGGCCATATGATCCTGCTGATCACTGCTTGACTCTCCAGTTGACAAATCAGCTTGTGAATGGGAACCATGGTGTCTCAGTGCAACACCGTGGTAGCAACCAGCACCTGTTCTCTGACCTTCAGCAAGCCCAACAGAAGAGAACAGGCAAGGCAGGCTTCCTCCACCTCCAAGGCAGTGGTACTGAACTCACACCTTTTGGGTCCTTGAAATACCTTCTGCAAAGATACTCTATGCCAGGGATGCACAGAGACTCTGGGCCAGACATGCGGGGTGTTTTTGCCACACTTTACCAGTCAGGCTCACTTCAGCCTCCAGTTCAATCAGCTGCTGGGTTCCCCCTTTCTTTCTCCAGAAATAGAAATAGGTTCTGCTCCTGCAGAGCTGGATGGCATTGGGGTACCCTGAACACCAGAGCCTTTCACTCCTGTGGGCCTGACATGCCAGGCCATAGGATCCACACAGCCCTGCAAACCCAGCACATGGAAATGGCATACTCTGGACAAGTTTCTGCCACAAGGATCACATGCACTAGAATTCTTCTGGGTCTGTGGGTGACTGCACACTGGATCATAACAAAGACACTAGATACCTCTGTGGTGGCTCTGGGTGACATGGAAAATCTTCCTCAAAGGGATGTCTTTCCTTCACACTCCACAGGAGTCAGCTCCCAAAGGCTGAGGACTTGTGTCACTGCCTCCTTCCTTAGAAGGTGATCCCAGCTGCTTGGTTTCCCCACCCCCTCATTCCAGGCTCATAGCCCTGTCACCCAGCATCCAAGCAGTCAGGTGATCACCTGCTCACCTGGGTGACGGCTGAAATCTTTTTGCATATGCCACAGCTCTCTCAAGGATAGGGATTGAGTGGTTCCCTCTTGTTCTGCCTCTTCCTCCTATTCTTGTGCTGGCCCTGCTCTGTTCTCCTTTACTAAACAATCTCTCATGTCCATTTCTTCTGGTGGAAAGGGGTGACTGACACTGGCAGGGGGTTGGTGCTCTGGTTCAGGTGCATCATCTATTGCAAGGGTCTGAGCACCTCCAGCACCTGCCACCAAGGTCTGAGTAGCCACAGTGCCTGTCACAAGGTTTGTGTAGCTGCAAATAGTTGTCTAACCCTAAACAAGACCTGACATACAATCACGGTTCCTAGCAATAGGGCCATGCTTGCTTCAACATCCCAAGGATACAAAAAAAATTTCAAGAGCTACTGTCATTAGCCAGGCAGAGAAGACAAAGATGTGGGATCATGTCTCCTCCATAGGTTAACTCAGAGGATGAAAGGTAAAAGGTGTAATCATTGATAGTTTCCAGTAGATCACTTACAAAGTACAAAGACAAAAGCAGAGCTGAGTACAAGTAACAGATTACTTTTACAACCAGCAATTCTGTTGTTACACACCAGTGCTCACAGGTTCATGGGTTGATGCACAGAATCCCTTGGGTTAGAAGAAACCTTAAAGTTCCAAGCCCCCTGCTGTGGGCAGGAATATCTTCCACTAGACCAGATTGCTTATGTTAAAACACAACACAATAACCTCAGTCCAGTTCCCACAGGTGATAAACAGCGCAAGAGGGAGGACACACTGGAAGTAAGGAGTTAAACGATGGAGCTCTGAGAACATGGAGAACAACTGAGAGCATAGAAACAACATTGTGTCCAATGACTATTAACAAATAACAAATATATATAACAAATGCTTGTAACAATTTTGTTCTAGCATGTTCTAGTCAGAGTTGTTGTTTCCTAAACCTGTCAAGCCCCAGGATGGGTGACAAAAAAAGGGCTATTGTGGCTTAACTCCAGCTGGTAACTAAGTACCACACAGATACTTGCTCACTCCAGCCCCCAAACCCTGTAGAACAGAGGAAGAGAATTGGTGAAAAGGCAAAACCTGTGGGTTGAGACTGGAACAGTTTAATAACTGAAATAGAGTAAAATTTAATGAAATAATGAAAAAGAAATTATAATGAAAAAGAAGACAACAGAAAGAGATGAAATAATGCACAAGTGAGTCAAGTGATGCGTAACCACTGATGCTCACCACCTGCTGACCAATGCCCAGTCCATTCACAAGCAGCAATTATCCCTCTGAGCCAACTTTCCCCACTTTACTGGACTCTCACACCCTGCTCCAGAACAGAAACTGCTTTGCCAGGTTTTGGTATCAGAGATATTTCAGCATCTACTATGAATTTGTATTCAGAAACTCACAGAAGCATCCCACACAGAATAGTTCAAGGTACCATATACGGCAGCTAGAGAGAACCAAGCTGGACTCCACAAACAGGCTGCAAAGCTGGCAGTGTTTGCAGTTAACCCAAGATAGCCACAAACATGATCAAAAGATCCACTGTCTTGGAAATATAAAAATATTATCAACTACTGCTCATACAGTGAAAGTGTAACTAAACCAAATAATTTTAAAAAAACCAAAACAACAAACAGGTAAACTGAGTTTTGTCATTGTCAATCAAGTACATTTAATCCCTAGTAAACTGAATTATCCCATAAACTTCAATAGAAAAATCTCTCTCCAAAGGCAAGCTTATCACAATTAAATTAAGGGTTTCATATTTCACCTCATCTACCCCGTTCTCAGTTGATTCCTCCTATCACCATAACTAATGAAATCAGGCACACAGAACTGCCTGAGACAGGCCTAAACATGACATCTTACAGCTGGATTAAGGTTGATGCCACAAGGCAATTAAGGAAGTCCTCTGCTAAATGTGCAGTAACTCTAGTCATCTGAGTAAATGAATGATGACTTCAGGGAAGTAGAATCTAGTCTTGGTAGACAGATGCAAAAACACAATCACCAAACTTACAGCAGATGTATGTACACTAATATCTCTTTGAGGCCAGCATTGCCAAAACACCAGAGTGGGCAGCAGTCCACAGCTCTGCTGCGCTCCCATAGCGACAACAAACTCCTTTGAAATAGATTGTTTGTATCATACAGGCTTTCAGATCTCCATCGTGGAGAGAATTATTAAGGCAGCAGAGTCTGCATATAATTGAGAGGGGGCAGGGCAGGCCCAATAGCATCAGTGTTTTAATTTAAATAAATAAAGACACAAGAGAAAACCTGATGTTGTTTACTAGAATTTCTTCTCCCATCGTGCTGTTTTTGCATCCAGCATGAAATTCATTCAGTTACTCATCTGTCAGCAAGGTGTGTGCTTAGATGATTAAGAATGATCTGAACCAGCAACTCCAAGTGTAGACAGAAGAGAGGTGTCCTGGTGGATGTTGCACAAGATCCAACAACCCTTTCTCCTTCATACGTGTTCTGTGGAAACTTACCTAAACACACCCTTCCTTCCTAGATGCAGAAGAGTAAAAAAAGTACAGGAAGTGTTACTTCTCCAGTCTCAGCTCTGCCGGTATCAGGAACCAGCTTTGACCTCTTCCAGCTTCCTTAGTTACAGGAAGGACATCAAGCATGAAGAAAAATTATTTCTTCTCAATTACTGTAACTCCCAATCTTCCAGATAAATGTGCTAAGAAATAAAGTAAGCGTCCCTGTTCTGCCCCCCTCCAAAACCAAATCAGACAGCAATGCATTTCCAAAGTCTACATTTTAACTAGACCTGAAAATACTGAATAAATGCTGATAAAGTCTGAAATATTTTTATCATAATATCAGGACTGAAATTCCACATTCTGTGCTAAAAGGTGGAATTGGGTGAAGCATTCCCATATGAAAGCCATGAACTTAAAGAACTTCATGTCCAGAAGGGACAAGCTTAACATGTTATTTCTTTTTTTGGAACTTAATGGTCATACTCCTCTGAGCTGCAGAGAATCACTTACTTCCTTTACAAGTGCTGTTTTGAAAATGCCTTTTGTTGTTGTTAAGCAAAATTTCTTAAAGCTCTTCACACATCTGTTAGACTTGCTTTTTCTGCAAAACTTTGTCCAATTTAAGAGTTAAACACTAACTTACACTTCCAAAAACACATTTTAAAAAATCAGTAAGGTAAATAAAGTTTCATGAAAAACATTTACTGTTGCTTCTGGGGAAAAAAATCCAAAAAACAAAAAACAAAAAACTAAACTATCCAGATTCCCTCTTAGTGGTTTTTTTTTCACTCAAGTTACCATATTTGTGGCCAAAAAACTCTAAGCACATTTTAGTATCCTCACTTAATAAATTTGTAGAATTGAATAACAAACAAGAATCTTTCTGGTCTTGATTAACTGTCTGAACATACAAACTGGAACATTAACAAAAAAGGCAGCCTTTGATACTTCTAAGATAGTAAACTGCCTATGGCAGAATTGGACAAATTTCTTTGACCACAGGATTCACATTTACTCTACAGGCCCAAATGCTCTTGGCACTACAACTGGCACAGCACTAAAATTTAAGCAACATGATCCCTTGTAACTAAAAATTACAGAGTAATTACAGAGTTACAAAAAATAACTAGAAATTCACAAGTAGTAAAAAAAATACAAACAAAAATAAACATACACAGTATCACTGTTCACATTAAAGAGATGTGAGATAAGAAGGCCTGAAGTTTTTCTGGAGTTTGATATTTACCAATATACAGAAGTTGTTTTCCCAGGACCCCTTGCAGCAGAACTGGCAAAATGCTGTCAGGTATTGTGGACATACTTTATAATAGATGCAGGTTATGTTTTTTCTGACCAGGACAGCCCTACTGAGCAGAAATTTATTATACCACAATGTGTCCATCCCCTCCCATGATAAGACACTTGTCTTTTCAATATAAAGGCTGTTTTTAATAACTGGCCTTTAGTAGCCACTAAATGCTAGCTTTTATTATTTATCACATACAAAAAAAAATTTCCTTTGTGTTACAGATCTGAAGTCAAGACAGTAACTAACACATTTCTAAGATACTGTAGTTTTCAGATAACTAGTCTCTTAACTGTTCTTTCCATCTAAATCAGCTTTATTATCCAGCTACAAAATGCAAAGTTAAAAGTCTTTCATCCCTAATTTGTTAGCGTTTAAATACCAAAATAGAACACTACAGGCAAGTTTAGACATATTCACAATGCAACTATCCAAGTTTACTCATTAAGAGTATAAACAAAGCAAGCATCTTTTCCACAGCATTAAAATATGATACCCTTAAATTCTTTTGCATCCTCTTTCTGACCAGAAAGATTTTTATGTATATATATGTGTATAATAAAAGTTT